TAGCTTCAGATTATAAAATAAACTTTTTTGATTACTATTAAACAAGAGATTTCAATGAAACGAACACATTAATCCTATTTCATTTAAATAAATAAAATGCAGAGATACACGTTGATTATAATTCATTTACGTTTGCGTTAAATTCAAAGAATAAGCAAGCAAGTAACATTTCAACTGTCAAGTCAAGTTTAACAGTATTTTTGGTGCCATTGAAAATCAATAATTATTGAATTCCAAAATCAAACTATATACTTTTTAATAACAGTTGAATTATATTGGAACTCCAGCAATCTTCTCTGTCTCTTATTTGATTAGTCTTTTTAATATTTCATGTCGTTAATCTTAATTTTAAACCTAAAACTGAAATCAATGCACTGTAACGTTTACTCTATGACATTTATATTTGGAAGTCAATGTCATCACTTGTCAATTTCTTACGGTGTTATTGTTATGGAGGTGAATTGGAAGTCTGAAATTAACCGATAGATATTACATTTTAGAGATTTTTGTACTACAATATTATAACATTCAATCAGTCCTTGTTAAATACTTTTCGTTTATAATAGGCAGCAACGTAATAATCCAAAAAATGATTTTGTATAAATATTTTGATTTACTCATGTTTTATTTTATTTTAATTATTTGTTTAGCTAATCTTGGGAGTGGAGAAACAGGCGATTGTAATCAATGTAGACTTTTGTCCGATTCTTTTAACAATTGGCTACAAAAAACAGCGCGTGGTAAGTATGAAGGTGGTGATACTGCTTGGGAAGAAGCAAAACTTAAATCGTACGCTCGCAGCGAAATGCGTTTAGTCGAAATTCAAGAGGGTTTGTGTTCAGAAGTGAAAAAGCAAAAGGACCGATGTTATGCTCTCGCCGAGGAAGCAGAGCATTTACTTGAACAGTGGTGGGTTCATGAAGATCCTAATTCACAAGATCTGTTCTCGTGGTTGTGTATAAATACCCTGCAATATTGTTGCCCCAAAAATCACTACGGCCCATCATGCACTGTATGCCCTGTGGACAAAAATGGCAGAATCTGCGGGGAGAAAGGTCTATGTAATGGAGAAGGCACACGAAAAGGAAATGGTTCTTGCATTTGCAAAAAAGGATTTGAGGGTCAATTTTGTGAAATTTGTGCTGAAAATTACTATATTACTCCGGAAGAAGACTGTAAGCCATGTCACAAAGCTTGCAACAATTGTAGAGGGGAGGGAACAGCAGCCTGCGTAATGTGTAAAACTGGTTGGGAGCTAGAGTTTGGTGCATGCAAAGATGTTGATGAATGCCTTAAAGATAGTTCATGTAAAGTTAATGAATATTGTGTAAACTTGGAAGGCTCATATTCTTGTAAAGCTTGTAATGTTACATGTAAAACTTGCAGTGGCAAAGGCCCCACAAATTGCACATCATGTGAAGTAGATCAAATCTTGATGAATGGGATGTGTTTAGATGAAGCATTACAACATCAATATTTGTTAAGTACCATGAAAAGAATGGCTTTATATGCAATCTTGTTGATAAGTTTATTTTTTATTTGCCAAAGAATGCAACTATTACTACCTCTAGTAGTATTATTAATATCAATTTTAATTTATAATTGTGAATATGACAATACAGTGAACATATTTTCTGTTTATAATATAATAATTAAGGATTTATTAAAAATTAGTCAAGGTTAAATATGGCTTATAAAGTAGTGAAACAGTGTTAAAGGTGTATTAAAAATACATTTTATTGTGAAAGGTACACAGCTATGTTTAGTATTAAGTATATACAGTAACTAAATATAACATTGTTTAGATAAAATAACCAAATTGCATAATTCTCACTTAGAACATAAGTTTATTTAAAATCAATTAAATACTAGGTGTTGAAACGAAATACAAACAAGATTTTAGTCTTTTACGTTAATGACTGCTCTTATACAAAAAGGTATACAACAAACATCATTCAAAAGTTCCTAAGTTTGATTTTACACAACCATTAAATCATTATTTTTGTATTTTATGTTATTTAATTTGACAATAAACAATTTTATAAATTAGAATATAAGTAGTCTAAATGTGTTGTTACAGTATATTTGTTACAAATAGATTGGCAATTATTTAGTTGTTTGGCTCAAGAAGCTTAGGTATACCCTCTCTCAGTCTGATATTGTATTTGTGAAAACGGGTGCAAAATACACAACAGTAAAACTAATGTGATGACTAAGTCACTACAGAATGCAATATCAATTACACTTAATATAATAAAGTAATGTACAAAAAAACAATACAACTAATTAATGTCTGCTTTCATTAATAAATAAAGACAAAACAAGAAAAAACGAAATTTCATTGTAAAGTACCTATAATGGTATAGATTTTATGCCAAAATCATTTTCTATAGCAGCAAATACATAAACAGTAAGTCTTTGGTGAAAAGAAATATTGTTTGTTTATGGATTTTTAAACAGTAATTATACTTAACTTATGCTATAAACATATATTACTTGATACAAAAATTAATATAAGTAAAGACTGCAACAAAAATAAACGCAAAAACACATATTCGTATGAAGTAACTTTGTTCTAAATTTTCATTTTTTGGTTTTATCATTGTTAAGTACTAATTAACTTCCATTCCTTCATAACTAAATGTGAAACAGAACTCTAATTACTAAAAGATTCATTTTTGAAATCTAACTGTAAGTCACTTTTAGCATTCTGTTACAAGATATTTAACAAGATGAACTATAACATAAAATACTTCAAATATTACGCACGACTAGCATTTGTAGTAATACAATATGCAGATTTAAAGTTTTTTTCTTCTATTGAAAACAATTATAAGGGTCTGTCCCACCACCGACTACTAGTCTTAGAGATAGCTTAAAAATGACGTCATTCTGATAAGGTAACAAAATCCAATACTTCCATCACATATTTCAAACATTGGATTGTTAGCAGACAATGTACAATTTAGTGGGACAGGCTCTAAATGTCAAAAAGTTACAGATAATGCAAAGCAAAGCAAAACCCTACCCATTCATAACTATAATGATTATCAGTCTGCTTTTTATACATGCTAATAATTTAATACAATACAAATTTCGGTCCCTCGATTTAATACTCAGCAAATCTTGTTTTCCACTTAAAGACTTCTCACATTGCAATACAATTTTGCAACAGAATAAAATCATTTTTTATTCATCTTTGTTAAAAAAACTTGCAATTTATTAATAGCGGTATAAAGCAGTTTGTGTGTTTGTATATCTAACTCATTCCTGAACAACATTAATGCGCGTTTCCAAATAAGCACATTCTTTTTAAGTAATTCGTTTTACTGTTGTAATCTAACAATATTTGTTGTTAGTAATTAATTAAAAAAAAAATCGTACAACTCTTGAATATGTTCGCGATTGTTCATCAAATGTTAAAGGTGAATGAGATGATTCAGTTGTAAGCAAAAATTTGTTAAAAAACCTTATTATACACACAATTTTTTTGTAAATGATATTTCTAATTGATATCTCTACATTCAGTCTGTCGAGTACATATTTGTATGGAATGTATTACAAACAACTTTAGTACATACATTGTTAATTTGAAAACAATGTTAAAATTTAACATTTTATCGAAAATTGTTAAAAACTTTATTTGTGTTTGTTTTTGGTGAATTTACACTGTTGTAGCACTTGTGTGTCAACAGCCATGATTCCACTGATCTGTATAAATGGATTGGTTTCAAACTTTAATTCGATTTAAAAGCGCGTGTTGATGTAAACAGTTTATTAGTTCAAACTTGCACCATCGCGAAAAACCGCAACCGTCAGCCCTCAAAAATGGGGGATAACCATTTGGTTATATTTATGCATAAAATATTTTGCATCCATTTATAAAGGTCAGTGCATGACCCTCATTATCTTTTTTTTAATAACAGTAATGTAGTAAAACATGTGCCACAACATTTGAAATTCATAGTTACATTTATCACATATAAATGTAACTATAACACAAAACTTATTAGTAAAAAACAGTGCAAAAAAGTATCTTATAATCAAATATACGAAGCAATTCGACAATATATGAACTGTATGCATCTTTATGTATAAATTATATAACTTAATAAGCATTCCAATCATATTCCGCTTAAGTCTGGTAGATAAGTGAGTTTGCTAATAACGAAATACTGAAAAAATATACGAATAACCAATAAAATAAAGCTTTTGTTATCTAGCTGCGCATATTTAAAAGAAAGCTGCACAATTTTAGCTCAACTAGAATGTAAATATTTAATTAAGAAAATAATACTTCATATTAATGTATTGCTCGTCAAATAAAATAATGATTGTTTTAGCACAAATTAAAATTTTACACATAAAGCTCATTAGAATTTTAACTTATAATTTACTTTTTAAATATCAAATATATTTAATATTCAATGTTTATTGTAAGTTTCAGTATTATCAATAAAGCACATTGTCTCTAGCGAAAAAACTGTTTTTATCACACAACATAAATATAAAAGGTAAGCGATTTTAACTCAAAATTAGATCAGAATACCATATAACTAATTTGTGAAAAGATTTTAGTCTTATTTGAAATAAGAATGATATATATTTAATTAGTGGCCAACGAAGGTAGTTACGAAAAACGTAAAACTAAAGTGTGCTAAATAACGTTCCGATTTATCAAGTAAGCCACAAAAAAGTGGTATTCGATTCTATGTCGACGGTTATTAATAAATGGGGAAAAAAAGGAGGAAGATACGCCTTTTGTATGGAAATGTAATTTACACAGTATTTGCAGCAACCAAGTGCTTTATGCAAGACAAGAACCATCTACTTGTATGGATATAGTTGGGACATATTTTCACATCAATAGTTCGCACTCGTTTAGGGTACACTGCAGTTGTCGAATTCAATAGAAATGACAAATCGTATTTACACATTACACATATATAGACTTACTAGCTTTCGCCGGCGACTTCTGCGCGGAATTAAAAAAAAAGTGAGTAGCTATGTTCTTCCAGACTATCCTCTACATCTATACCAAAATTCATCGAAATTCGTTCAGCCGTTTAGACTACAAAGGGTGGATAATATCCGCGTTAGATGTAGATGATAGAAAAAAAAACTGATTTTATTAAGTCTGTAACTACAGCCTTATAAGGGCAAAATATTGTATAAGAAACGTGTGTTACAATTTGTCATTTGCATTGAATTGTGTTAGTTCCTAGTCTAGTGTGTGTGTGGGTGCGCGGTGGTGCGAGTGCGAGGAGAGGTGCGCGGCGAGCTGGCGCTGCTGCAGCAGGCAGTAGAGGATGCCGGCCTG